GGCATGAAAAGAGCTTTCCTGGAGTATTTCAGTCATTGGTAGTGCAACTGAAGCAAACAATCAACTATGGATGGCAAGGCACTGTCAAAATATCTCCGGGATAAAGTTGTGGACAGGCACAAGTCAGAAGATGGATAAAAAAAATTCTAAGGCTTTATCAATGCCTAGAAGCACAGTGAAGTCTATTATTAAGAAGTGGAAGCTATTTGGTACAACATAGACCCTCCCTGGATCAGGACATCACTCCAAACTGGATGAAAGAGCCAGGAGGAAACTGGTCAGAGAGGCGACCAAGAGGCCTACAGCAACTCTGAAGCAGTTGCAGGAATTTATGACAAAGAATGGTCATTGTAGAGCTGCACGATTATGACAAAAATCGTAATTGTCGATTATTGCCTTGAAATTGTAATTGCGTTTATTAATTACGATTATCACAATTTACATTGAATGATGTTTATACCATTGTTTGATGCAACTGCATGCCGTATTTTTATATGAAAATAAACAAGCTGAAAACACTTTTAGTGCTTTTCTATAGTATTAAGCCTCAAATGTCAACTATACATCGGATTGGTTTCTTCTTTAAATTATAAAAAAGTAAAAATATAAATGGTATTATAGTGTTATACTAAAACTAAAATTAAAACAATGGAAAAACCCTTAAGATAACATGTAGGGAAAAAAGCATCTTAAGTACACATATAACATAAGTGCACTTTGAACGATTAATTGAAGGAAAAATGAATGCTGCAAAATATAGTCAAATTCTTGAGGAAAATCTGCTGCTCTCTGCCAGAAGGTCGCCAATGGGAAGAAGGTTTACCTTCCAACATGACAATGACCCAAAGCACACAGCAAAACTGACCACACAGTGGTTGAAAGAGAAAAAGGTGAATGTCCTTGCATGGCCTAATCAGAGTCCAAACTTAAACCCCATTGAAAAACTGTGGAATGACTTGAAGATTGCAGTCCACAAATGCTCACCATCAAATTTAACTGAACTTGAGCAGTTCTGCAAAGAAGAGTGGGTAAAAATGGCAAAGTCTAGATGTGCAAAGTTAGTAGAGACATAAACCAACAGACTAAAGGCTGTAATTAAAGCAAAAGGTGGTTCAACAAAATACTGACACAAGGGGTGATCCTTTTTCCAACTCAGTGATTCTACTTTTTTATTTGTTAGGACCATGTGATATTTCAGTTTTTCTTTTTTAATAAATCTGCAAAAATGTCAACAATTCTGTGTTTTTCTGTCAATATGGTGTGCTGTGTGTACATTAATGAGGAAAAAAAAATAACTTAAATGATTTTAGCAAATGGCTGCAATATAACAAAGAGTGAAAAATTTAAGGGGGTCTGAATACTTTCCGTACCCACTGTATATACATACATACACACAGTACATATTTTACCCCATTCTCTAAAATCATTGTTAATTAAACAACAGGCACTCAAACTTACCGTTACATCTTATAGAGGAGAAAGAGAGAGAGAGAGAGAGTTGGCTTTGAAGGGCTGAATCAGGTAAAAGGACTGATTGCCTTTATGATAGAGTTGAGAGCTGCACAACTCTCCCTCTCGTTATCCATCTTTGATAATGAAAATCAAGCTATCAGGTGAAATTTTGCTGAAGATTAAATAGCAGTTTTCAGCCCTCTAATTGCACTTAAGGTGCAATTACAACATGATTTGTGATTAAAACACAAAGAAAAAAGCTAAGATTCATCAGAGGAAGCTGATGCTGTGGATGCCATGTCTCTACAAGGCTATGGCTATGCTTGGAGAATGAAAGACTGAAATGTTAATTACACATGATAAATGCTAAATGATCTCCATTTCAATGGAATAAAAACCTTGCTGTTGTAATGAAAAACCCTACACAGAGCAAAGAGTCAAAAAAAAAGCCAACACTACAATAGTGACAGAAATATTATTTATATACAGATATTTATGAGTGTTTCCTCAGCTATAAGCACTGCTGACCCAGTGGACTGTAATTTCTGCCATTTTTTCTGAAAAGTCACTTTCACTCAATTGTCATTTCCACAATACACATTGTTATAATTTGCCAAAATTACAAATAAAATGACTGAATTTGTCTTGCTAATGCTAATTGCATAGCTAGCATTTATCCTAAATACACACAAATGATATTGACCTTTTCTTCACATATATGCCCTCACATTTCCTCTTCATTGACAACGGTAAAGTATGATAACTTAAAATAAAAAAATGTATTCCTGGCAAAATTATTGGTTGTATTCAAAAATACATTACAACTGAGGACTTGCTTGAATTGGTGAAAAAACTGCTTAATTATCAAAAATAAATAAAACAGTTTTAAATAAAATAACAGTTTAAAAAATATATATCTATTTATGATGGATTTGTATATTTTAATAATAAAAGTCAGGGTCAATCACATGATACATTTAACTATGACCTTCATATACCAAAAACCAATCAATAAAAATAAAAGTGCCCTCAGTTGAAAAACCACCATTATTCGCTGTTCTGTATTAATGCTAAATCAGATTAATGCTAAAGATCAAAGCAATCCACTTTACACTTGCCTACACATGCACCTACATTTATGCAATTACGTTTATGAGTGATCACATAACACTAAATAGAGTAATGTGTTTACTTGGGTTTTCCTCCCAAAATTGCATTCAAATCACATTATTGATGCACATGTGGGTGATGTCATCTCTCCTATCTCTCTTACTGTAAATGCACATTTAAATGCACAAATTACTTTAATGCATAATGTGAAGATGTTTCTAATGCAAAATAAATGGCTACTTTACATAAGTGTCTTGGAGAGGGGGAGAGAAAAAAAGGCCTTCCACCAGATTGCCGCCCATCACTGTCTGTCAGCACTGGCATAGCGAGGGATTATCACACCCAGATTACAGTGCAGTGAGTGGGAGTTTATTTAAAAAAGGAACTACAGGCTGTAATCTCTCCCTGCCGCACAAATGCCCTAATAGGCATGTGTTGCGCTCTCTGTCAAACAACTGTTGGGTAAACAAAAGACAGCAGATTGAGGGGGAAGCGAGGGAATGAACAAGCCACTGCTACACTACAACACACAACGCCTCAGCGCTTCGCGGGGACATTTCTGAGTCACATCAGTGAGAGCGATGGATGGAGAGGAGGAGAGAAGGAGAGGAAGAAAGAGCGCTTTTGTGTTTACATGAGCCTGGAGTGTGGAGATAAGATGGCTATCCCACAGCACGTTTTGCAGAGACAATGTGATGCCCCTTCGTCATTGTTGCCGCTTGAAAACTTTGAGAGAGAGCAGGCGGTGAGTGAGAGCTTATAGCAGACAGACGTGCCATTTCCAAGAGGTTTAATGCACTATATCGGCATAGATTTGAACTGCACATTAAAGAACAGCCAGGGTGCACTGCCAAGATATTTCCGGATTAGGTTTCATATTAAAAAGAGCTTTCTCTGCTCAAAACAGGCACTGTACTTTACTCTTCAGCATTAGTTTAAAGCTGACACAATCTCACAAAAATAGCAACATTTCAGAGCAAAAGAAATATGTCTGATTTAATAGCACTTCAACAATATTAAACATGCAATTGTTGGCGGCGGAGAGAGGCAGAAGTGCACGGTGAGAGACTAAAGGCAGTCAGGTTTTATATCACTGGTTGTATGGAAAATATGGTGCAATAACTGTCCAAATTCCCACACGGAAAGATTCTTAATTTTGTCTGAGCTAAAATGGATGCTTCCATCAGAGCCATGATAACAGAAATGGAACTCAAAGGCACAAAATATAATATATGTATATGCATATATGTGATATTTTGGTGTATTTATTAGGGCTTAAAACTTGTGCATACTATACTGAATTTTAATCATGTCCCCTCTGATTCTGTAATAATGATTTTTCCTAACATGCTTCTCTGAGTCTGCAGACACCTACTATTTATACACTGTTAAAAAAAAATCTAAGTTGTAAATAAAACAAACATTATAGGATTTTAAATATATTGGCACACAATATATTGCCCTGTAAAGTCATTACATTTACTCTTACGCTTTCATCTGCCACAACGTAATGTCTCTGAATCATTTGCTGTATTTTTCTCACCAAATATTTATATATACAATTAATTGTTATTAATTAATCAGCGTATCATTGAATGGTTCAATTAAAATCACTTAAATTCAATTGACAGTCTTAGCATTTTTTTTTTCAAATTATTTAAAAAGTCAATGATATTTTGCTAAAAGATTACTGGTGATTCCATGAAGTCATTGGTTGATCCTATCATCGATGAACAGTCTACATGATTCAATTTCAATCAATTCTTTAAGATAAGAACTTTATGGAATCTGTTTATAATTAACTAATATCAATAATGGCTAACAATACAATATCCTTGTATGCATTAGATACAGTAGGTTCATGTTTTTCTCACGTGCTCCCATTCTTCATTTCAGTGCCTACTACTTTTGATAAATAATCAGATGCAACTTCAATAGATTCCTAAAGCTTATACAGAAACAACCACTGCAACTGTGGGATGCCATACAATACACCCTTATTATGTGCGTTCATTCACTAAAAGCTAATACAGAGATGATTCATTCAGATTTTTAAAACAAATTTGAATTAAATTAAACAATAAAGGCCTGTTTACACTAAGTCTGATGTTAAAAAAGACATCTTATTATTTTTATTTTTTTTGCATATTGAAAAAACAATCAAAATGTTCTGAAAATTTCTAAACTATGAATGATAAATTATTTAAATTATTTATTTGTAATGATTTAAAAAGTGGGGAAAAGAGGGGGAACATGTATCAACCTAGAAAAAACTATAACTAAGTATGGTAAATATCTCTGGAAAAGGCAAGTACAACACTCAAATAGAATTAATCATATAAATAACATAACAAATACTATGCAACACTCCCTCGACAGTTAGTTCTATTTAAGACTATACTACGGAAATGAACTTGAGTTTTCTTGTGTGTGCTTACCAGATCAGAGAAGTCTTGTATTCTTCCGGGAAGTAGACTGGTTGTTTTCCACCGCTATCACAGACTAGGCTTCAACTGGCAGCATTTCTTCTTGACTGAACAGGATTCTGAGGAAAATAATGCAGAGATGAAAATGAACTGTGAGATGCAGAGAATTACTAGCTATGCATCGCTATCAAAAAGCACCTCACTCTCATGGAGTTGCTGTGCCGTCCCTCATGCTGAGTATGGGAAATGAGCCTCCCTATAACAATTTGTCCTGGCCTTCCAGCCCACTGTCCCTGATAGACCACCTGCCCCTGGGCCTCTCATTGCACCCATGTAGGGGGTGGCAGTGCCCTCCATGGGCCCTAACCCCCAAACTCCTCTGCCTTAATGGCCACGGTGCTGCCCTATCGTGCCAGGCAGCCAAGCATAGCTCTGCTCCACCAGATGCCAACACTCTCTTGGAATGCTAATGATCTCCTCCATTCCCATCTTCCGTTCTACTCCAGACACATAGCCAACCCTTCCCCCACAATCTGTTGTTTCCGTCAAGCACACGTGCAAAGGATGACAGTTTATAATAAAAGGTTTGTGTTACTGGAATTAGTCTCCAATACACGTATTCAGGGAAATTATGAGATTCAGACAAACATTTCAAGAGGGTCTTTTCACTGTGTCTTTTCACTTTTAGCTGGCCATGCACTTGACTGTCGCACTGCGTGAGTTCAGTAGCTCAAGTGCACTTACAGACACTTCTCTCCACACACCCCCACCCCACATACTCGGGCTGAATGAGAAACTAGCATCCCCTTGGGCACATTCATTCCTGGGGTGACTGGAGCAAGTGGAGATTGGAGTCCGTATTTACTTAAAATGAGAACAGGTTTAGAATTGGAGGTGAGGAAAACAGGAATTGCAGCCAGTTCCTAACATACTCTCTATACTAATTAAAGTGGCTCTTGATGTTATTCAAAGTGATTCTTAAACACCGAAGGTGTTTCTGCTGTTTGATGAAAGCAGTCACCAAACCCAGTGTTGTCCAATGGACACCTGCAAGTCAAATCCCACAACAAAACCATATACCTATTCAATAGATTCCTAAAGCTTATACAGACTGCAACTGTGCAACTGTGGGATGCCATACAATACACCCTTATTATGTGCGTTCATTCACTAAAAGCTAATACAGAGATCAGATTTTTAGATTTTTAAAACAAATTTGAATTAAATTAAACAATAAAGGCCTGTTTACACTAAGTCTGATGTTAAAAAAGACATCTTATTATTTTTATTTTTTTTGCATATTGAAAAAACAATCAAAATGTTCTGAAAATTTCTAAACTATGAATGATAAATTATTTAAATTATTTATTTGTAATGATTTAAAAAGTGGGGAAAAGAGGGGGAACATGTATCAACCTAGAAAAAACTATAACTAAGTATGGTAAATATCTCTGGAAAAGGCAAGTACAACACTCAAATAGAATTAATCATATAAATAACATAACAAATACTATGCAACACTCCCTCGACAGTTAGTTCTATTTAAGACTATACTACGGAAATGAACTTGAGTTTTCTTGTGTGTGCTTACCAGATCAGAGAAGTCTTGTATTCTTCCGGGAAGTAGACTGGTTGTTTTCCACCGCTATCACAGACTAGGCTTCAACTGGCAGCATTTCTTCTTGACTGAACAGGATTCTGAGGAAAATAATGCAGAGATGAAAATGAACTGTGAGATGCAGAGAATTACTAGCTATGCATTGCTATCAAAAAGCACCATAACACATGCCAAATACTGATGTTGTGTTATAGCCACAATCAAAACATGAACTCATCTTAAACAGAACTCTTCCTGTAACTGCAGTCAGAGTGGTGATAGAGCTTTAGAATCCACCAATGAACAACCCATGATCAAATCCAGCCATTGCAATTAAATCACAAAAAAGAAACTGGACTAAAGTGTTTATATACTGTATATATATATATATATATATATATATATATATAAATGAATAAAATGTTCGGTAACACTTTATTTTAAGGACCAATTCCAACTACTAACTAGTTGCTTACTAGCATATTTGCTGTTTATTAGTACTTATAAAGCACATATTAATGCCTTATTCTGCATGACCATAGTTTAGATCCTGTAATCCCACCCCATACCTAAACTTAACAACTACCTTACTGACTATTAATAAGCAGCAAATTAGCAGTTAATTGAGGGAAAACTCTTGGTTAATAGTGAACATGTGTTCCCTATTCTAAAGTGTTACCAAATGTTGATTTTAAAAAGTGTATAATATTGATAATTTGTTTTGATTCAAGTAAAATCTAATGTATATATATACTTAATACTTGATTTAATAAAAAAAAATCTAACTAAATCCTTATATATATATTGAACAAATTGGTTTAAAAAGCTAACCCACAGCATATTTAAACGTCTATATAAAGAAGTATTTGAAAACCAAAAAGTATTTGAGAATTGACTTGGACTCTGCTTCAGAGACTTGCTCGTGTCTGCATGTCACTGCACCAAGCACAATTCTGC